ATAGACAGATTTTCGTAACCTCGTTCCATCAGGCTCTGAACACGATGAAGAGTGTAAACAAATCAGATCTAGATTAATCAAAAGTCTACGTAATGACCGTGAGCAGTGGTGGGCAAGGAAAGCAAAAGAGATGGAAAAGGCAGTGAGGTTGTAGGTAACACCAGACAGCTTTTCACACTAATAAAAGAAGTTGGAATTAAAAAAGTCAACTGTAAGTGAGACAATTTCGGAAAAAGACGACACTCTTATCTGATCAGGGTCTAGAGGTATAGATTGATGAGCGGAACATTTTAAGTAGCAGTTCAGCTACTCTACAACTACCCATCATTTCCAAACAGTTTGAATGGAACATTGAAGTAGGTCTCCCGACTCTAGTTAAAGTTCAAAAGGCTATAAGTAATCTGAAACGAGGAAGAGCAGCTGGTCCAGATGGATTGGCTCCAGAAGTTTTTAAATATGGTGGTCCAATTTTAGCGATTTTGTTGACTAATATTCTGGCTAAAATCTGGGAACTTAATGTGATCCCATCTAACTGGTCTCAATCACTTATTGTCCCAATATATAAGAAGGGATCAAAATCATTTGTCATCAACATAGAGGAATTAGTTTGACTAATATAGCATCTAAAACACCAGCTTCAAAAATGATCCGGGACCTAACAAAGACTTATGAATTGCAAACATGAGAAAAGCAGGCTGGCTTCAGATCTGATCGTGGCTGTGTTGACCACATATTCACTATTCGTCAGGTTTTAGAACACAGGCATGCTTATCGGCGTTATACAATAACAGTTTTTCTTGACTCTGTAGACCGAGAGGTTCTGAGGCAGTGTCTGTCATTGAATAGTGTACCTCAGAAGCACATGAACCTTGTGAAGGCTTTTTACTCGAACACTATCAGTCGAATGAGAGCTTATGACGGACTGTCATCTGATTTCGCAACCTCATTTAAAAAAGATGAGTATACTGCTCGGCAGTTTGTTCAGTTTTGCTCAACGGCTGCGAAACGTTGCTATTAAGGGCATATGATACTCCCAAGTTACTAGTATTTAATGACAGGTGTCTTAGAAATATTTCTTGTATCTTCTGGGATCGATGCATATATGCGCCTGGTCCTACGTTGTAGCTGACTGACTGAGTAGTGAACTTAAGCGCAGAGTATTAGAGAGAGATGGGGGTTGTGAATCTCCATTGACTGAGATGGTTGGGTCACGTGTTACGTACGACTGAACATCGATTACTACGACGCGCTATGTTGACTAGTATTGGGGATGGTTGGTAGAGAGTTAGGGGAGGCCAAAACAAAACGTGGCATCAGTGCTTGAAGTCACTAATTTCTGGTGTGAACCATTTTGGTAGATGCAGAGTTCTTGGTTGGGGTCCGCGTGACTATCGTAACCAATGGTTGGAGACTGTGTGACATGGCTCAGAATCGACCACAATGTCGTCAGTGTGTACACTCTTTGACTGCCCTTAAACCGTGAGATTAAAATTGCTTTACATCATTCTTCCCACCAACTAATTTTTTCTTCCTATAGCCCTCAAATGCCCTGGTACGGCCGAGAGTGGGGAGAGTACGCTCCCCCTCTCGAAATGTTCTCACATGGCCACGCGTATATAGCCTCTGCCAGGGAAGTCCTACCCACTGCTTACTCGTGGCACTACTGGCACCCGGGCAGTATCACAGCCCTTACACAAATCAAAGGAGATTTGTGCGACGCATATATATCTGCTGCTTCCTTGTACCAATATTTATGTGTTTAAATAAATAAAATAAAATATCCTTATATATAATTTTTTTTAATATATTACCACCATTAAATTAACTACTTCTATAAATTCGGTGTTCATTATGTTGTGCTAATGAGGTTATGGCAACTTAGACCGATGCATATATGTACCCGGTCCTACGTCTTAGTTGACTGATTGACTGAACACTTAAAAGTTGCATAGTAGAACAAAATGGCAGTCCATTGCCATATGGTACCTAAAATGTGATCAATCTCTGACGAATACAACCTATGATAACATAGTATATTGAATATGATTTTAATTATGAATGACATTCAACCATTAATTACATATTGCAACTATTTAATTCATATTATCAAGGCTGTTTTAGAGGTGCATAGTATGAAACCTCATTCTGTATCCACGTGACTGTTTTAATGATTGTCTATATGACTTAATAAAGGTATGGTAACAACTTTATCAACATATAATAATAATAATAATAAGTGGTAGTAATAATAATAAATAATTATGAATAAATGGTAAACAAGGGTAAACAGTGATATTTTAATTTCTGAATATGGTCGTTTTCTATATTGTAGATCTTATTATATTTAGTTAATTGGAATAAAAATTCGAAAGTTTGTTGATTATTAATTGATAATGAATTAAAAGTGAATTAGAAGTTAAAAATAACTCAGATGTACTTTTAGGTATGTTGAACTTTAAAAGATAAGTTAATAAATACTTATTATGAATAAGGTATATATATTTAATGACCGTAACTTTCATATGCTTTATTGAACTCGGTAAATAGATTAATTTAAGTTATGAAAAACTAAATTTGTGAAATGTAGGGTGCATTAATCTTATCCATTCTAATGTACTCTTTATTTATGGAAATAAATTTGTTATGTCTATATTTACATTGTTTCGAAATATCAATTGAAGTTAAGGTCTTTTACTATCTTGTCATAGCCTTATATTTAGTCTAAACGATGTGTCATTTGTATTTCAAGAATAAATATAAATCCAAAGAGCGTTATTTTGGTAATCAAGAATGATGATCAACTTGATTACTCGAAACTTCTAAGCAATTATTATTGAATTTACAGGCGATTTTTCACAATACATCATCCTTTTAATCTTAGCAGCCTTTGAGGAAACACTTGAAATTTTTTGAAAGTGGTTCAAGTTTTGCTTCAGTATTTTATTTATATAAATAGTCTAAAATATTTCATGAATTTTCGGAGAGGTATTCTGGAATTTGATCGAAACGTTGATATCGGGTCTTTACTTTTAGTTCATCTGTTGGACTGACCAAGTAGATTCAAGTAATGTTGATGAAAAAAACTAACCAAAATTCAGTCCAAAGTACAACTTATTAACAAGATCATTCAATATGGACTATTTAATTGAGCAACTTTGATTTTACTGAATTCCCAACTTTTAAATATAGTGAATATACACTAATAATTAATTGAAGATCTAATTACATCTGATCATCAATGCAAAATAGACAGTAGAGATGTTCTTGATAGTTCTTTAAGTTGAATGTTTAAAGGTCATCAAATAATGAGTTGGATAATCTGAGAATAAGTTAGTCAATGAGTCACTTTATTGACTGTTGTTTCGTAGATTTCCAATCAGAATCTAAACGTCTTTTTTTCTCTGTAAAGCTAAAAGCTTACCTGAAGACCCTGTAAACTTAAGGTATAGTATTTAAAAGCAATTCTATTCTACTTTGGGGATGGAAACGTTTTATTTAGGTTGTTAAGGTGACGGAAAAAAAATAGAACTCAGTTAGTTACCTTAAAATTTGAAATACATTTAACCTAGATTATAAATTATGAAAAAGAAATATTCATGTCAAAAGCAAATTACACTTAAAACTAAAATAAATAAAACGACAACACATAGGGTCAAAAGTTTTCGAGTCAAGAAAATAATGCAAATATCGGTATTTAGCAATGAAGAAATTCAGTATGGAGTGATAAACAAACGAACTAATATGACAGCATATAGACATTTGTATTTTAGGTCACACACACAGTGATTTAAACTTAATCTGACCTTAGTTTAACTCAACAGTTAACTAACTATTTAAGAAGGCCTTTTGATATTTTGTATCTGTCATATGAAGATTATCAGATCGATATATATTCGAAGCTTTTCATCATCAATTATTCCCTTGGGTTTTCAAATCAGGAATAGACTCGTGAATACTAAAATAAACTATCATCATTAACCAAAGAGCAACGATCAGTGGTTAACAGTTATGAGTTTTAAATAAATGTTTATTAATGTTATTTAAATTTAAGAACTTTGAACAGTATAAGGATGCAATTATCTCCAAAGTTTAACTAAACAACTTGAATGTTTCGCGCCGAAAACTAATGATCATGAATCAATCCTTTAAGATACTAACAGCCTGAACTGAAAAAGAAATATAGTGTAAATGTAAGAGAACTAGATGAAGGAAGAGAAAGATGGAGAGGATTGTGCAACTGTTGTTAAAACTCAATTGAATAAAAGTACACATTTAATATTTCAATTTTTTATTAAATCCAAGAGTTAATATTTTCAGTTTCAACAAGAGGTGAAGTGATTAAATGGCTTTACCATTCAGCGCTCCTAAAGTTGAATTAATTAGATTGTTCATTAAGTCACATTCTGTTGTGCGCGGACAGTAGTCAATTTAATGTATTTTTGTATTGGTTTTTTGAATCTTCTCATTGAAGTTTAGGACAGCGATTCAATAAGTCACTTATTAGCATTTGTGCATCCTGTGTAGATTGCCACAATATTGCTTTATATGACAAGCATTACAAGCAAAGATGGATGGTGGCTAGCAGTGGAATCCAGGATGCACATTTCATCCTATTTTCGACTCGTCAGTTGGATGTGCCTGTATCCCTGGTACTAGGTTCGAGTCCCGGAGTGAACATCAACTCTTGGGTGCAGGTACACTGAAACTTCTCCACAGTTCATTTTAGAGATAGTAATCATCGTTGTAAATAAAAATACATATGTAACTGTTGTTCTAAAGTAAGAAAACACTTAAAGAGAACTAACTTTGTCTTCAGCAACAACAATCTGATATATATATATAATAATCTTTCAATTATATCACACTTGAAAAGACAACGAAGAACATCTATACGGAAAATGCTAGCTAAACACACACACATACATGTGCATGATTGAATCTCTAAACGTAAGGATAACACAAAATATCGACATTTTCATGAAATATTACGAGCAACTTACGAGTACTACTCCTAGATCGAATTTCATCTGGATCATCTGAACTGGGATTTCGTAGTTTACGATCCAATAAGAGAAAATAAATAACTTTCTCAGTATTATGTCTATTTTAATTGGTAGAATAAAAAAGAATAAATCAAATGAGTAAATAAATTCAGGAATAAAACAAGGTTTTCAATTTTTATCTTTGAGGTTTAAAACTGACTTTATCTTCTTTCGTTTGGAAACTAACAATAATTTTTTTTACAAAACTATTTGATTCAAAACCCAGTAAACATGAATCTGCATTTCGTTAATGAGTTATACTAAATTTTAAAAAAAGATCATCATGTTAACATTGATTTGAATAGTGTATAGAAATCGAATTTTATTGTCATATATTGTAGACTTGTCAAGGTAATTTGAATACTATCACGTTTCTTTATATTTTATCAATTATGAAATACTTTACAGCATATATATGTATCATATGAGACGGTGTCATCACCTATTTATATATATCTATATATCTATATCTATATATATATATATATATAGTAATCATGTACGGTCAAATCCGATATACATACACAACCGACGTACATCATTACCTTAACATATAATATCGAATAGGGAAATATATCCTTACTGAAGTTTTCATAAATGTTGATGACATCCAACGTAATCAGCATGATATATATGTATATATGATTTATTGCAGTCAGTTGTTAAATCCATCATACTTTTTTTAAAAACTGATATTTACATATATAATGTTATATGAGCTGTCATTATTCTAATTCAATTTTATTAGTATTTAAATTTTTTTGAATATGAAAATACTTCATTGAAGTGGTATGTAATCATGTTCCACTATTGACTGAAGCAAATAAGAAGCAATCGATTTTTAAAAAACAGAGGTGATAACGGATTCTTTCAAGACTTACCAACACAAAAGAAAAAAAAGCGGCTTTTTCTTATTTTAGTTTCTATACACACGATACAATTATTTGCACAACTAATGTAACGTTCTATCTTTAATAAGTCATGAAATCAGTTTACTGAATATACACTGAAATTATTACGCACTTTTACACTTAAAATAGAAATGATTCTCCTAATATTCATTAGGTAACTAATTCAATAGTTATTACACTACAGTCTCCTGAAACACAATTTCGTAGTTTGCTTTAAAAAAAATTGTTACTGGTGATTGAACAGTTATCAGCTAAATTGAAATAACTTGCATTTTCAATTTAATTTCCTTTCGAGTTGTCAATCGAAGTGTCATAATCACATATTCAGTTTCATGGAAGTTTTGAAAAGCCTCAGTATTTGCTTGATTACAAGTTATATTGTGGATGGATACATTAATAACACTATTTTAATTGGTGGTTTAATATTTAAAATATTTATGTTAAATAATGTACATTTAAGTAAGAACAATATTGTAAAACTACAACCACTACGTCCTGAATAAAATAACAAATGGAGTATCCCTATGTAACAAGGGGTTTTTTGTGGAGATTTAGTAATTTTATAGTTAAGATCATGAGTCAACCATATGCTCACTAGTGACTGGCTCCTTGAGGTAATTCCTGGAGTTCTAGTGAGAAGTCGTGGCCAGTGGAGCTAATCCATGTCAGGTAGAGACAGGTATCTACCTCAATACATTGGAAGTTGGTTGCGCAATTTCGTGGATTGGTTGAGGTTAGACATTAACACCGTTGGATGCTATCTCAGTGGTCTATCGTTTAAGGGCTCTGGCTCGAGACTGGTAGGTCCTGGGTTCGAATCTCGCGAGTGCGTGGTCGTGGATGTGCACTGCTGAGGAGTCCCGTAATAGGACGAAACGGCCGTTGAGCAGTGCTTCCAGGTTTTCCATGGTGGTCTAGCTTCAATTGACTCATGATCTTAACTATAAAATATAATGTTATATCCCCTGGTGAATCATGAATGGTAAATCTGAGGTCTATTATGGACAAAGGTAATATGCCTAATTCCTATTGTATAGTTGTTAAATAACTAACCTAATTGTATTCGTGTTCCTCTTACCGTAACCTTATTTTGACCTTTGAACTATTATTATTGATTACTTTCCCCCTATCCACAGCCACATTGGCCAATTATTGTACAAATAATATTTTTCTATTTTTTGGTATATGGGGTCTGTTTGGTTAGTATATAAACCCAGTATGCTTGTGAATAAGGATTCATATTACCGAGGCTGTTATTTGTGTTCTGGACTCAACTGGCTGGGTTAGGCAGATCGCAGGATCGGTTAGCACTCTAGTCTGCTCGTTCGGGTTTCGAGTCACTGCTCCAGTCGATAATTCGCTGCTCTCTAATTGGCGGTCTCATCACCTCACCCATCAACAAATAATCCACTCGGCCACAGATATAACATATAACTATGTAAGTTAGTTTTAAGTAATTGATTGATGAGAATAATCAATTTCAATTTGAGTTTTTAATGTACTCAAACCAAAAAATAATCATAATTGATCATCCATTCTTAGTTTCTTTGGATACGATGGAAATTCATTTGTTTTTTGATAATTTTTATTTACTTTTCCCAAAATGAATAGTTTCACTATATTTAATTGACGATTTTCTAAATCTTGCGTAACAGATTCATGTATATGGAAAATATTGCTATTGACTTCAAAAGTTTTGTAAGGTGATACGTCTATGACCACTTTTGAGTAAAGTGATTTCAAACAGAAAATATAGTACAAGTATTTAAAAAGCTAGGAATTATGAGCTCTAGTCAGAAAAGACCTCTTAACCATTTTCATATGACGAAAATGTTTTCACGAAAGCATGCGGGGTAGTGAGTTCGTTCAGTATTTACACTGGTGGTATGTATACAGAAATTGTAACTGGGAAACTCAAAAGGCTTTAAATTTTAATTTATAGGCGGGAATTAATCACAAAATCTTTAAGCAAAAAACGACATGTAGGCTTTGTTCAATTAAAGACACGGTTTCGATAAATTGTACATAAGAAATGTGGTTCAAAAGATATGATGAGTATTCTTAGAAAACTATCTAATTTTGAAATGATTAGCTTATACAAGTGATGACAACCTAACTTCAAGTATACGAGTAACTGAAGGCTACATGGAATGAAGAAAGTTTCTTACAAGACATATTAAACTTCGACAATGATTCAGTGGATTCCAGATTATTGTTTACACTAGAACCTATTAAACAGCACTTTACTTTCGATCGTTACACACTTCAGCACAATGAAAAACACAACTACTATGTCAGAGTTCACACTTGCGTCTAAAGATTAACTTTTTCAGATATAAACAACGGGAAGTCAATTATAACATCTCTTCATCGAATGATGTAAATATTCTGAAGTTATGTCATAAAAACGTTGAGGGTATTGACCATTTATTGTTTACCAAAAGGCTAGTAACACACCATTTGATTTGAAGCAGAAATGGCTGATGGATAGCAGTGAGATTCAGGACATGTATTTCATCTGACTCGGGACTCGTCAACTGGGAAAATCCAAATAGCCTAGTTAAATACTATTTAAATTTACTTCATCACCTTAAAAAATAACAACTTCGGAAATTTCAATAATATATCGAATGCCAAACTGATCATAAGAATAACAATAGTAGTGCACTGGTCAAAAATGTATGCAATTTCATCAATCATTCAACTTCAAAATTCTATTCTTATTAAGTAATTTCCATTAACAAGGAAGTAGGGAGAATAAATTTTCTCTGTAGGGTTCTCTTAACAAAAATATAAGCAAACATAACAATTATATTTTCTTTTCCCATGTCTAAACTAAATAGACCACACTACTTTAGTAAATACAGTGGTCACAATACTGTGGAACACAATTGTTTTTTACAAATATGAACCAATCATAAACAAAGTCATTTTTAACGTCTATCATCGAATATGTATGTTTCAATAAGAAAAACTTCCTATATATATATTAGTCATTATTATTAATAATTTATTTATCTTATCGTTGTTTCAATGTCCACCATTTCTTACAACTAGATCTAGACATAATGAAACGAAGTTTAACCGTTTTTCAAATGTGGAAAACTTCATTTGAATTAATTTAATGAAAAGATTGGAATAAGACAAAAGTACTTTTTCCTCGAAAATGTACAGACATATATTTATTGTATGAGAAAGTGTACAAGACATCTACTCCTTTTCAACTACTCAAAATAGTTTGCCAAAATTTTTCATTTTTTGTGATAAATGATTGAATAATAAATTAGAAATTTTCGTTCTACTTAGTGATCTATCAAGTTTTCATGTCTTGTTGAAAGATAATTAACTTAATGTGGTTGAATAGTTGTCATTGATTGTTTAATACGCTAACCTATGATTATTGATTAGATTTAAAAAGGAGCGTTGAAACAAGATGGAAATTGTTTCAGGTGTTACAGTTCCATAGCAAAAACAAGCAAAACAGATTTTTCTGAAGTATAAAGTTATATTTTGTATGACCAGTATAAATGCACTACCTACCACCTTCGAGGTATTAGGTATTTAATGTTGACCCTACTGATTGAAAAAAATAAACTACAACAATTACGGATAAGAAAAATTATTATGGTGTATAACAAAACATTGAATATCCCAATTACAAGACATATATGTATATATAATAATTCTCAGTGAATTGATTATTCATTTTCATAATTTTTTATCTAACAATAAGAATATAAACCATCAGATTTGTAGCTCAAAAGGATGAATTAGATGGAGTTTTGCTCTCTCAGCTGTTGTTCTTTTGAACAATGAAAGCTACACGATCAAATCATCCAGTCCACAGAACGAAACTCCACCTGGCATATATGTATTATATTACAATGTGTCCGATCATGGAACTATCACAGTAAACAATTCTCTCATATACAAGCCCAAGCCAGATACTTGAGTGAACAGACTTAAAGTGAAAAAGAAGCTTTAATGGATAAACCGGATAGAAGGATATATATAAATAAAAAGATTCCTTAGGAATTGAAGCCACGTATCCAACCAATGGGGTGTGTCTTGTTTCTTAGAATCTTGGCCAATAGTGTGCAATAGTTACTTGACTGGAGTCCGATAAGCAGACTGCATCAACATGTGCATTAGTTGAATACAGTGAGATAAAATTATCAAGATTTGTTAGGGTAGGAAAATTAGTAACACTATTGTTTGAAGTTGAAAATATTAAGCATGGACAGTATGATTCCAGAAGGCAGAATAAATTTGCGGAATAAAAGGTATAGAATAATTCTAGAACCCAAAATTCATTGGAAAACGAAGAGATAATCCATCTGCATCATTATGAACGATTCTGAATCATGTTACTCAATATCTTAAAATGTTGATTACGGTAATCACGGAGACCGAAACCAAGTCACTGGAATCTACCTACGCGTTAGCAAGTGAGCAAGGAGTTAAGAATAATTCTGAATAAATCATCATTACTATATAATCCTGAATTAAAGAATCCATATATATTCATTTTTGTATTGGTTATTTAAATCTTTCCAGTGACGTTTGAGACTGCAATTGATCAGTCTCTTATTGGCATATGTGCATCCTGTAAAGATTGCCGCGATATTGAGTCAAGTCACAAGCATTATAAAGCAGAGATGGACAGCAATCTGCATTGGATGCACGTATGTCAATAAGGGAATAATCAACTTCGATCCCAATCATCAGTGGAAAGATTCAAACAACTAATACAAAAATGAATAAATCTTCACCTCATAGTGAATATCTGGACTCAGTAGCTAAGTGAATAACGCGATGGCGTTTCAAGCTAACGGTACTCGGTTAGAGTCCCGGAGTGAACAGCAACTCTGGTACATCCAGCTGACGAGTCCCAGATAGGATGAAACGCGCGTCTTCGATTCCACTGCCAACCACCATCCGTCTCTGCTTATAATCCATATAAACTAGTTGTTATGCAAAAAGCATACATTAAAGATAAGGAAACAGAAAACAAGAGCATTATTTTCGAACTTACACTGGAGATAATAATTCTTCAACTAATCTTTCTTGATCGCGAAAACATTGTAAAGAAGTCATTGTAGAAAATATGTCAGGATCTATATCCGCACGTGTAGGAATAATAGCAGTTTGCACAGCTTGAGTCATAGGCAGCTCCAAAGGTAAAGGTGTATTTTGGTCACTAAAGGTGAACGAGGAAGTAATGTAATAAAATTAATAATATTAATAACAATAATAGTAATAATAATGGCGAACTCATAAAGAATAACGAGTACAAAATTGAATAAGGTTATTATTTAATAACATCCCGAAAAATTTATTTGTCTTATTGGCTTTTACCTAACGTTTAAGCTTTTCCACTTTTTTTATATCTATTTAATAGGGATACGTATTAAATAGTAAAATGTTGAGATAATATGGAATTATTGTTAACTCTAAGAGAATTTAGATAGAAGAATAAAAATATAGTTGACCAATGATAAGAATTAAAAAGAAAATAACCATAAGATAACTAATAGTTATATTGTTTCATACACATAGTTCTTTTTATTATCTTAAATAGAGAAAGAACAAAGATTGGTGCAGAACAATATGAATTCATTTTATTTCGTTAAGTTCTCATCAGCTGACTGATTTCAATTCACATATTTATTACTAATAATCAGTTTTCAGTTGCTTCATCACACATTATTTCAATGTTCTGGAACTATTCCTCCCAAACTTAATTTATCCAAAACAAAATTTTTATGACCTCTATTGAAATCTTCACTACGTCATGAAACACATATTCATCTTTAATCAATATCGTAATTTATAAGTATGTCAATATCTGTAATAACATTGAATTTAAAATATTATAGATTGTAAGCATCTGATGAGAATCTAATTAAATAAAATGAATTTATATTATTCTGAAACAATCGTCGTTCTTGCTCTCTACAAGTTATGTTGTTGTTGTTGAATAATGAGCTGAACAGACATCATAGTACCATAATACCATAGTATCATAGTACACTATGTACTTATTTATATTCGATAATTTTGATGTTTGATTATAATTCCTTGAAAAAGCTTGGACCAGATTGCCAGGCGAAACGTTGAATTCAATTCAAATTTATTCGCTGAGATTTTACAAATACATATTCTTCCTATTTAATGTCTTACATCAACTCGGCGCTTAAATACTGTGAAACTATTCGCTCTAATTTAGATGAGAGTTCTTATATAGACATCATAGTTGTTCAGTTTTTAGTGGGGATCGATAAAGAATGAAGAGTAAACGTTAACCTGAATGATATAACTTTATAGTGAACTGTGCTTCTAATATTGGGTGATTGGAAAAAATCATTGGGAAATCCTGAACAAATATTTCACGCTAATCAATATTGTATAGCAGGTGTTTACAGTTTTGATTTACACCATGAAGGAAAATCACTTTGAATAATGACTAGACTATAAGATTAATAAAGTCTGATCAACAGTTATACCGACTCATTGATTTCTATCCAATGATCGGCTAGCCATTCAGTGTTATAGGAAGTAAATCATGGTCCAGATAGCTACAAGAGAACATCTTCGACTTGACATGGATTTGATATAGACTTGAATGAATGAAGAACATATCTTTTCTTCAAGAGTCTAGATACTCCACTTGCTAACGAGTTAAGTCTAGCATGAAAACTAGGTCCTACGAATATTTAAAAAAAACACAAAACAATGTGATAATCGTACTCAGTGATCAACCAGAAAAGTTTATAAACAGAAACAAATCTTAAAAATTTGGCTTTTAGCAAAAAAGAATGACGTAATGCTATCATTATAAATAAATGTTAATATTAGTAAATAACAATACAAATCTAACATCAGTGGAAATGTAATAATTGGAAATTAATGGCAGGATTCCACCATAGATTACAATCTTTGTAACGAGACTGTAAACAAGTGGAAATTATATGTCGTTAGGTGATGAGTGTTTTTTTTTAAATTTTCACATAATCTGTAATGCATAGTATATTCACAGGTATGTAATATATCGAATTCAAATATAAAATTATAAAGTTTTTGGCAAAAAAAGAACAACCGAGAAATTGACTATAAATTTACATCATTAAACAAGACAGTATAAAATTGTGCAGAAAACGGACATTCTAAGTGATTTGTATGAATGTTCAGTATCGGTTGTGAATAGATTATTTCAATGTATTTATAATTATTGTGGATAGAGATCTGAATTCGAAGCTATCATTATTTGTGTGAATCACAAAATACATTAAATTTTCTTGACTGATTCTCATTTTTAGTAAACTTTGGAATGGTGATGAAGAGTGAAATCCGGAAGGCGTATTTCGCTCTATTTGATAAATATCAACTGGAATATTTGCATTTTAATGTTACTGTTCGCACTTAGACTTGATTTCAATAACTACGGTTTTAAAAGTCATCATGTCATACACAAATTAAACTATTCAATGACTGAAGCCATCAAATTTTCAAATAGGTATAATATTTACAACTAGTTGTAGGAATTTGTGCAATCAGTCCTCAGTATTAAGAACGGGAAAATAAGTCCCATAGGAATAAGCAAAAAATGGGTCAACCTTATTTTTTTGAAGTAACCTCGATTGAACAGTTATTACTGTAACATTGAGAATTAAGAAAACAAATTGATGATAACACATTGAATTTCAAAGAGAACCGAAACTAAAACATCTGAACACAATATGATGGTTATGATGGTTGTTTTGTTTACAGAAATGTAATGCTAAAGAAAATGAAGAAAGACATTGAAATTAGGAAAATTAAGTCAGCTAATGCTGAGAATAAAGGGTAGATCGTCTTTCTCGATTATAAATATATATACTTCGGACAGTTTACATGTTTTTAATAATGTTGTCGACAGTATGAAACTTTGAAAAACAGCTGTTAAAAGAGAAAACAGTCAATGACTTTCATGATAAACAGATATACATAATTTACTTTTTCAAAACATATTTCATGTGAATCAAAGAGAGAAGTAGGATGGACATGTAAAGAAAAAGAAATCTTAAAAAACCTTTTTAAAAAAAAAGAATAACACTACACGTAATGTTGGTCACCAGTTAGAGGACAGTTGTTTCTGATTTATACCGGTAGCTGATCAAGTTGTATTCGAAAACAAAACTATCCAAGAGATATTTAGGGGAAAAGTTATTAGAATCAATAGTTATTCAAAATAAGTGTCACTCATCAAAATCAGACATAACAGTTTACATAGTAAATTTTGTATTGAATACTTTTAAAAATAGTACTCATTTACTCTTTTGAAAACGTACGTGTGTTACTTAGACTTGAAAAAACGTCAGCCACGCAAAACTCTGGTGCTTAGACGTTTGTTCTTCTAATACGAATGGAAAAACATTACCTTTAATTGTGATCACTAGTAAACATTCGGTTAATTATGAAACACAAATGCGAGATATAATAATCTAATATTGATATGTAGATAATTTTGCATGAAAATTCAGTTAGTTATTTGCAGATAGATATAGATCTTAAGAATAACAATTATGACTTACTGACTATCTCAATTAATCCTATTATTTACAATGTTGAATAAATCAAAATTCAAATTAAGATCTATAATTTATGAGACAGAATAAAAACTAATCGTAAATTAAATCCAAATACAGTGAATAAATCGTGGAGATACTTAACATTTAAAAATCAGCCTTGTACAGTAGTTCAATCAAGAGTACAGTACAGTTTTAAACTTAAAACAATCTTTTGATGAATTAAATTATTTGGATGAGGTTATTTCCGTTTTTATTAACAATTTTAAGAACTAACAACGAATTTACACATTCAGATGAAATTTGTATTATATGGTTGAGATCATGAGTCAATTCAAGCTAGACCACCATGGAAAACCTGGAAGCACTGGATGGCCGTTTTATCCAATTGTTGGACTCTTCGGCAGTGCTCATCCATGACCCTGCCTCGCGAGATTCGAACTCAGGGCCTATCAGTCTCGCACGCTATCGTGGATGCGCATTACTGAGGAGTCCCATAATAATACGATACGGCCGTCCAGTGCTTACAGGTTTTCCATAGTGGCCTAGCTTCAATTGACTCATGCTTTCAACTATATAAAGTACTAAAGTCTCTAAGAAACCCCCCGTTCTGAAATTTATATTAATTGAATGGTTTCTAGATGATTAACAGTTATGAGTTTAATGTAGGGTAGTTATAACATCAATGACTATGAAGTGAGTTCCAGTTTCAAATGAAACACAAGTGTCCAAATACCAAAAGAAGCAACAGGTTAAATTATCGGACTAGTTAGTAAAAGATTTAAATTATGATTGGGGATATAAATTAAACAAGATAGCAGGAATATTGAGAGAAATAGAGAATTCCTGTATTAATGCAGCTAAGAATTATTAAATCAAAAATACATTTAAAAAAGTGAAAAATAAGGTGTACGAATGAATTGACTGTTCTTTTAATTTTTTAAAATTTTTTTCATAGTTGAAAGCGTGAGTCAATTGAAGCTAGACCACCAGGAAAAACCTGGAAGCACTGGATGGCCGTTTCGTCCTATTGTGGGACAATTAATAACGTTGATCGAAATTCAGGAATATCTAATTGAACAAATACAAAACAATGATTTTATATTTCTAGTCAAGACTGTGAACTAAATTCAGCAAAATAAATAATGTAAACCAAAGAACACTATACAGATATTTAGTGCTTATATGGAGGTGGGTGACAGTTGTGTGTGATTAAGAAATAAATGGAGATCATTTTCACTTTTTAAGAATATTGAGCATCCTCATTTCTGAAGAGTATTATCCTATAATCATTCAGTCTTCCTGGTCTAGTTAAATTTAGTGCACGAATTGAGAAAACTTCACAAACATCTCGTGCTAATAATCTTAGACCAAATTATGAAACACCATAAAATGTAATCAGAATTTGATAGACATAAAAACTGAAGGGTTCATCTACAAATGTTTATCTTATATCATAGTCCTGTTACCAACCTTTTTGAAGATTACGGTGATGGAGGATAGTTTAAGCAAATTACTGGGTTTAAACTTCACAGAATATCACTATGTATTTTACTTATCTTACTATGAACAACATTCTTTGGGACTGCATATACTTTTCTGATAAATTGAACTAGTCAACAGAAACGATATG